AAGCAGTTTCAAGAGTAAGAAGTGCTTCTGGGAAAAATTAAATAATTTGCCATCTGCTATACAACAATACACCAGTACAGTTCAGGGAATCTCTTTTCTTGGAAATCTTTCCAAAAGCCATCCTAGCTCGATTTGTTAAATTTTGAGAAATTAACATAGGCACTTGCTGTGGTAATTTTTCTTCAGTTTGAGTTAGTATTACATTTATTTGCAATTCCAGCAGGATGTCTACGATCGATAAGTATCGGGATTCAGATTTCTAAATTATGTAGTTAACAGTAGAAATTGTAGGCCAGTGGAACTAGGGAGAAGTTCTATCAAAGTAAATCATAACGTGTTTTTGGGGACCAGGCAGGGAAGAGGCTTGCATTCTTAAAGTCTAAAAAAGTACCACAGGTACTCTAGTGCTGTCACAGAAGAAACAAAGGCTGCAGAATACACCTCAAGTAAAGGTGTATAGTAAATAAAATGAACAAGCAAATTCATTTTAGATGGGCACTGATCATTAATGTGCTAACGATCAGATCAATAGAAATTGTACTAATAAACTAACCATTGTGTTTTGTGTTTATTGATTGTAATATGCTGCCAACTTTGTACTGTAAATGTACAGAAGGTCTCTGTATTAAAAATGAATTATTGGAAGAAGGGAGTACAAAGAAACACAGAAAAAAATAGGTACCTGATTGCTGGATCTGACTAGGAGTTAATTTGGTTGTTAGCAGATTGTAAGGTTTTGGATTTGTGACTAGAACAGTGTTGCTAACACTATCAGTGTTTTGGTTTTTGCTGAACAGTGCTTGCACAGCATCAAGGCTTTCTCCGACTCCGCTCTCCCAGGAAAGAAGATTGGTGGGAAGGGATGGATAAGAGATTGTGTGCAGACACAGCCTGCTCAGTCAACCCAAATTGGCTGAAGAAATATTCTACAACAAATCCATCATGCTAAGCAATAAAAAGCAACAGTTTGGCTTGTGTGGTAGCTGTTGCTTGGAGACTGGCTGAGTATTAGTTTCCTTGTAGCAGTTGCAAGTGAATGCTTTTGCATTAGTAGTATTGGGTTTTATTTTACTTCTCTCTCTTTTTGTTTGTTTGTTTGTTTGTTTGTTTTGTTAAACCATCTTTACCTTGTTTCAAGATTTTTTTGTACTTTCTCTTCCTATTCTTATCTTCTATGCCATTGTAGATGGGGCTTAGTGAGTGACTTGGTGCTTGGGTGGTTGGCTGCTGACAGGGGGCAACCCAGCACAACCTGACATGTCAGTAAAAGTGAGGCTACTCTTAAATGTATATTTACAAAGTCTCCTATTTTACATATTATGGTGAACTACAAAAACACTTGAAAGAAGTGAGGGAGACTGAATGGACATCAGGGAAGAGTGCTCTTAAGAACTAGTTCAACATACAGTCATTCTTTTTTGGTTGCTCTGACTTTCATAATACGGCTTTTGTATACTTTTTGTTTTGTTTTTATTTTCAATTTAATGGTGATAGAGGATTTATATTAATTCAGGCAAAAGTTATAATTTAATTTGGCCTATTGTAGGTTAAAAATAATAACAAAAAAAAAAGGATGACATAAAAACTTTCAACAGGATATCCTGAGTCTGTGTAATCCAGTATCTGGGTATATGTACTTCGTTTAATCTTAACGTAGCATTCTGAAGCCAAAACCTAGAGAATTGTGAATTAACTTAAGGCAAACCTTGAGTTTATTTCTCCATTATTTTTCTTTCTGTGGACTTATGAGTTTGCTGTGGTTTGTGAGATAACAAGTCTTCCACGTTTACTGCTTCTCTCAGTTGAGACTGAGAAGACTGTAACTTATAGGACCTCGCTTATTTAATGGACAATATGGTTCAAAATAATTTTTACATTGACTTCAAATGTCCTTCAGCAACCCCCTTTTCCCTTGTTGACGTCACTTCATACCAGCCCTCACATAGTTCTAGACAGAGATCAAAATATTTAAGTTTTTAGCTTACAAAGTAATTTCTGAGAGTTTAATGTAAAATGGGATTTCAAATGGAAAGTGCTGTCTCAGACATAAGTGCCAGATAGTAATGTGCAAATCTGTAATAGCAGTCTTAGTGAAGAAAGGAAATCATGTATAAAATATATTTTATGTGGTCATTTGAAAACTTTACTACTAATGATAAATACATATTTTTTTCATGCTTCCAATTTTACACTGGTACTTTCTTGAAAGTACAGAATTTAAGTGGTCTAAGAATAGAAGTGACCACACTTTTCTTTCTCATCTCCCCATGCACACTGCATTTTTAACTCTATTAGTTCATTTATGTTGGGATTTATTTTTATAGCAAATGAAAGGATAAATAAGCCAAAAATAGTAAATCTTTGCTTTTTTCATAAAAAGAACGTACAGCGGAATAAAATGTGTTATGTTGCATATAGCAAATAGGCAATTTTAGTAAGTATAAGTAAGTAGTAATTTAGTAAGTATTTTAGTAAGTATAGATAGCATAATATTAAGGATAATTATCAGTGCCCATCTGGAATTTTTTTATTTTTTTTTTTTGTTTGTTTGTTTTTGTTTTTTGTTTTTTGTTTTTTTTCTTTTTAATGCTGGCTCATATAAGCAAAAAGAAACAACCAGTTTGAAATGAGATAGTTCAGAGCAGAGTACAAGTTTAGATTTTGCAATTTTTGATGGTAAAACATCATTGTGAAAACTTTCATGGTAGAATAATTTTGAAAAGTCTTGTGCGTCTCGTAATAATCTTCCATAAAGATTGTCTATGAACAGCCAATTAATGGAAGTTTATTTTCCAGGAGATTATGACCCCGAAATCCCCTCCCTACCCAACAGTCTTAGCTACCTTGCTGCATTATCCTTTGTTCACTTTCTCTATCATATTTTATATCCTTAGCTATTACCAACTTATTTATCCTTTCACTATAGACTTCCTCAATAAACTCCCAGTTCTGAGAATAAGACCTGATGCCTTCTGTCTTACATACTCATCTTTCACAATTCAAGAGATCTATTATTTCCTGTCACATTTTTTTTTTTTTTTTTTTTTTTTTTCAAATAGTTGATGTGTTCAGGAATCCTGTAGTGGCTGGCAACTGACAAATAGTAAACTTTGACATTGCACAAGTCTCTGTGTAGGTTAGGAATAGAAGAAAAAGATAAAGAGGGGAAAAAGAAATAAATATGATAATTTTTATTTTGTAGTAAATGCAAGAGATTTTGAAGAATTTACTGTTACTGTATTGATATTATAGATGCTTTAGGGTAACTGTTTTCAACTAATATCAGACCTAAACTGTTTATATTTCGGGAATTCAGATTTCCATCAATGTATTGGTAACCTAAGGATCTACGTGGGCTCTGAAACCTATAAATTGAATCAAAAATTTTGAATGAAGCCAAGTTTTGGCATTGGACACAGAAGTCAGTATAGTTCTATTTCCTCCTTTTTAAGAATTTCCTCTTGAAAATTTTGCATGTGATCCTGAAAAAAAATGAAAGGGAAATCTCTTTCTGTAATGTTGAATTATTTTGTGAGGTAGGTCCTGTCAAAAATTACAGCCTGCAACGAGCTTGTTTATCTAGCAGAACAAACTCATTTTTAGGACAGTGATGTAGTGTGGTTTACTTCATACCTTGAAATCACTCAAGGAAATAACTGAGTGAATTATATTCAGCCTGGTCCCTGTGTTGCACAATTATGTATAACATTAAATGGCAGCATATTAAAATAGAGATCAGGACTAAAAATATTCATTTGAATGCTGTTCTGAAATTTCAAAGCTGTTGAATTATTCAAGTATTTTCCAATTTATAAGATAAAGTAATAATTATTAAAAAAAAAAAGATGTTTGATTGCTTGATGTGACAATTGAAATAAAAACATCTGATATGTCTTGGAGTTAATTTTTGCCACAGTTCTTCTTTTGCCACCTTTTTGTTAGTTATGTACTTGTAGCAGCCATAATTTGAAAAGGAAACCCTAAGTACTTTCTTTGGAAAATACCCCAAAAGAAAGATAATCCAGTCAAAACTGAAATGGACCACTGTTGGAACAGAAAGCCTAACAGAAATCCCTCAATTTACTTAATATTAACATATCTGGATAAATATTAAGCCTTTGGTCTTGTCTTTTCCTACTTGTGAGACTAATAGCACAAGTGTTTAATATCCAACTGCAAATATATAATATTTTTAAGGTACCAATGTCAACAGAATATTCCAAAGATTTCTCTGAAAGTAAACTGTATTTTGAACGTAGTTGTCTTTGGGTCTTTGAAAATTACATTCTTAAATGAGTTGGGAGTCAAGATTTTAATTTGTTTTACCATACATCCAAGCTTTTCTAGACTGAAGAAAATGCTTTATGTGTCCCATGTAGATTATATGTACGAAGTGCCCATTACAGCACATGCATGCTGTCATCTATTTGAGCGTTCACAGTAATCTCTTTCCTCAGAACACGCCACTCTAATTTTCTTTCCATTCTTTCCTTGTAGTCAATAGGATTGTGAGCCAAGGGCACCAGATTATGAGGGTGTAGAAAGTGTAGAGTTCTGCAGACCCATGGAGGTTTTGCAGGGGAAAGGAAGGACAAGAGAAGAAAAGGTGTAAAAAGTTTGTTTTCTGTGTAAATTGATGTCAGTCACTGTGTTTGTCTGGCCAAACCCTGCATCTGATCACCGTAGTTTGTCCTCTCTACTTATTTTTCTCAACTGTTCATGCTTGTGTTGCACAAAGTTTAAAGTAAATAAATACATAAATAAATAAATGCTCAGTTATCTCAGAAATTACCAGCATTTAACACAAGTGCATTTCTTTGTTCTTCCTAGAAAAGTACATTAAATTAATGGTGTGAAAATGAGGTTAATTTTTCAGCAATCAAAAGACTACAACTATTTACTCAATGGACCTTTTTAAAGGCAGTTCTCTCCCAGAACAATATATAAGGAGAAGTCTCTGAAGCCTTTGATAATTCCTTTCATTTTCTCTTCTCTTTCAGCTGATGGATGCACTGACTGGTCTGTGGATTACAAGAAATATCAAGTTCTAGTGGGAGAACCTGTTCGTATAAAATGTGCGCTCTTTTATGGATACATTAGAGCTAATTACTCCCTAGCCCAAAGTGCTGGACTCAGCTTGATGTGGTACAAAAGCTCTGGGCCGGGAGATTTTGAGGAACCTATAGCTTTTGATGGAACTAGAATGAGCAAAGAAGAAGATTCTATTTGGTTCCGACCAACAGTGGTACAAGACAGCGGACTCTATGCGTGTGTTATAAGGTATTATATTTTAATATATTACATTTAAATAATATATATGTATATCAGTCATGGCTCTTAATAGTAAGACTTTTATGCAAAGAAAAATGTTTTTTGATTTTTTTCCTTTTTCTTCTTCTCTTGTTGTTCCTTCCCTGAAGTTTTTAAGTTTTTTATGTTAATTAGAAATTACGGTTGAATGTTTGGGATATTTGGAGAGGGGGAGGGAGTTGTATGAATTTATTTATTACAGTATCCAACATTCATAAGGTGGGTAAAACTGGATGTATAAGTCTTGTGTTGCTGCTTCTGATTCTAGTTTAATTCCTAAAATGTTTTTTCTGGCGTTAAAAGTTCCTTTTTCATATTTGGATTTCTTTTTATATGAGTTTTGTTCTTTGGTTTCTTTTAATTCTTTTTTTTTTTTTTTTTTTTTTTCCCTCCTGTAAAAAAGTGCTATTTGATGTAAAGTTTGACTTTGTATGAATTCAAATAGAGTATAATTATGGAGAAGTTTCAAAAATTTTTATGGATGTTCATATCCTAATCATAGCTGATTTAACCTGATAATGGAGGCTTGATACCAGATGTCTTCCAAAGGTATTTAAGGTTCAAGGCATCAAGCCTTATCACCATACCTTAGTCTAGATTCTAATTCCTGCTTTCTAAAACAGATGTAGAGCTTTTTTCTCTACCTTTATAATGCTTTGCACTGAGGTATTTTTTTCAGCCCTTCAATTCAGAAAGATTATCTAGGCAATTTATTTTCTAGCAGATTTATACAAGTTTTAACTTGATTTGAAATTACACAAAGTAGAATCACAGGTACAGAGAAGAGTTGCTACTAATTGTTGTTTGAGGGTTTGAAATGTTTGGTTGTACTTAGGTGAACAGATGAAGCAGCATTCCACTCTTTCAGCCTATCTATAAGGCAGTGTTGCTACTCACACACCATAGAAAAAAGAAAGAATAAGGCAGCTGAAGGACTAGACAAGAAATGCATAATGAAACTATTCTAAGTTACAAGGAAAATGAGAAAGCACCAGAAGAGTCCCGTGATATTTACTGTCTACTACTCTTCCTTTTGTGGGTGTTCAGGAAGGCAACGCTGTCTGAATTGTGCATGGTGAAAGATTTTTTCACTGGATGTGGTTTTTAACATTTGTTTCTGAGCTCTTTGCATAATTTTTGAGAGGCTTGGTATTGCATCATTTCTTCAATAATGTTTTCAGTATGTTTCTTCTTCTGATCAGGATGGCTTTCTCTTTAAGAAAATATTACACTTTACGCTACTTAGGGGGAATATTTATGCTTAGATTAATGTTTTGAAGTGCATAACAGTAGCCATGAAGATGGCAACACTTTTGTCTGTTATTCCATAGCTCTCACTCTTTAGACAAAGAAAACTTCAAACATCTGATATTGAACTTTGTAAAAGTATTAGATAAATGCTTCATTTTGATAATCAGTCATTCTTTAAAATTTGTTCATCATTTCAACCTGTGTTAATGTTTTATCTAAGCATATTTTTTTAAACTAATAAGAACTTTTTCTAATCTACTTTAAGCTGCATCCTGCTTTTGTAGCACGTGCTTAACTTCCAACTGTCAGTGCTCTTATGTGTTGAGAGAGGAGAGATTATAAAAATAATAATGATTAGTTTGTGATCCTGAATACTCTTATGATAAGATAAAAAGTCTTATCAGTTTGAGGAGATCCACTGGAATAAGCAGGTATCAGTTGGAGAGTACACAGAAGTCTCTGCCTGTTATTTTATATTAATGTTTCAGATATAAATTTGTTTCATGGAACCTTTCAGTTGTATGATCAGTGTGGTTACTGGTAGAAAACAGAATCTTCATCTCAGATTGTTTCATGCTTACTGTGAAAGATTACTTTGAAATAGTTTTGGACGCCCACTTACAATCAAATTTAAAACAGAATAATTTATGTTCCTGAGATAAACATATATTCAGTATTTTTATTAGAAATAAGTAAAATAAATTCCTCAGCAATGTAGTAGTTTCTTTTTCTTCATTTGTTTCTTCAGATTCTTACATTATATACTATCTGAAAAAAAAAAAATAAAAGAATTAGAGAACAAGAACTGTAATTGCTGTCAGGGATTGTGATGAAGATGGCAGAGATGAGATTTAGTTGTTTTTTGTTTGTTTGTTTGTTTGTTTTTTGTACATTAGAAGGTTTTTTTTCGTATTTTAATCAAGAGAGCTTTATATACCTTCAAAACAATATTATGAACTATTTAGTTTTGAAGACTTAGTTGAGAAGCTCAATTAAAAGTCCAAGTAAAAAAACAATGTTCAGTGTGATTCTTGCAACAATTTGAATAGATCAGGAACAAGAGACTGTCTGTAGTAACAGACAGTAAAAAGCAAACAGGGAAAAGGAGAACTGAGCTTTGAATAAATGGTTCTTCCTCCAAGGTAACAGGGTCAATAGTCCAGCTAAATTGCCTCTACACCAATCCACACATAATAGGAAATAAATAGGAGGAGATAGAAACTGTGGTGGAATTAGAAAACTATGACCTAATTGTTATCACAGAAACAATAGTACAAGTTGCAAGCTCTTTTTAAGGGATAGCCAGGACAGGAGGGGCTGAGGAGCTGCCTTCTAACTTAAGAGGTGAATAGAGTGCAAATTGCTGCCTCTGAGAAGCAGTCATGAACCTGAGAAACCCATGGTTGGAGAGCCTGTGGGTTAAAATAATGGTGAGACAAGGAGGAATGGTTTAAAACTAAAAGAGGGGAGATTTAAGTTAGATTATAGGCAGAGATTCTTACTCGAAGGGCCACAAGGCCCTGGCACAGCTGCCCAAAGAAGCTGTGGTGCCCCATCCTTGGAGGCACTCGAGACCAGGTTGGATGGGGGCCTGGGCAGCCTGAGCTGGTGAGGGCAAACCTGCCCATGGCAGGGGTTGGGGCTGGGTGGGCTTTACTTTTGCTTCCAACCTAAGCCACACTATAATTCTTGGTTTCCATTTCAGATCTGCTTAAATGGGTGAAACACTCCAGTACTTGCTTTTTTTTTTTCTTTTGTTTTTTTTTTTTCCCTCAGCAACACCTTCTTTCGCAGTTCTGTACCTCTGCTACCTGCGCCAACAGTAAGGAGAAGAAATTGCAAAGGAAGTATTAGACAAAAAAAAAGCTAGCTGTATGCAAGTAAATGTACATATTAAAAGACTAGTCGGTGGACCAAACTAGTTTCTACAATTAGTAGATTGTAGTTGAAACATGAGATTTTATTGCCTAGAGGAGTTGATAGTTTTAGAAAAATTAGACTGAAGATAGCAGTAGCTCTTTTTACTTCAGAAGCAAAGAAGCAACTTTAATCCTTATTTACAACTGTTTGCAGTACTCTTATCTTTAATTTATTATCTCCACTTTTCTTCTGATGAAAAGCTGATTCAGAAGCTGAAAATTCAGAACATCAAGACTGAGTTCTTATTACCAAGGAACTGGTGCACACCCATAGCTGGAGAAGTGAGGGCAGAAATAACTTTCAGCTTGCAGCTTGTCAATACAAGGTCTAATGTAACTGGTAGAAAATGTATGAGCTTACATAGTGCTTCAAAGAAAGACAATAATGTTTTTTGTTTCAGGCACCATTGCATTAAACCTTTCAGTGGTTATTACATCACACAGTTGCTTGTTGTGTATAGGGGCTGTAGCAAAACTAGATGAGCCATACAAAGAGAAAAAGTATATGTTGAACTTAAGCATGCAGAAATTGTTTATACAAATACACATATACACCTGGCATAGGAGTCAGTGCATACTAGTTTCTGTCAAACTGTACCTCCTTCAGTGCTGCAAAAAAAGTTGAAATACTGTCATTCTGTTAAACTGATATTATCTTACAATTTTCATCTTTTTCTTCCCTGTCTCGAAACTTTTATAACAGTATGTCCAATAATGTCCCAATATAATAACAGCTGATGTGAGTGGAGCCTGAGAATAAGGCGGGAATCAGATTTATATTAAAGTACTACAGTGATCTGTACTGCAAAAACATGAAATAGGTTTTTTAAATTCATTCAGATAGGGTTTTGCATTGGTATGTCAGTTAGATAATGTAGTATATGTAGGAATTCAGGTATCTTTTTGAGTTGAAGATGCTCTTAGTAACTAGTGAGTTTGTTCCTTATAAAATCATGTTTTATAGTAAGGTTTATTTTAAAACTAGAAATTCTCCTTCTAAACATAATGTATTGTACCTTATGCACTGTGTCCTTAAATGGTATAATTCTCCTTTGTCCTCTGTCTGTCCTTAATAATGGTGGTTGGAGTTGGTTGGATAATTTTATTTACTTTTCTGTAGTCTAGTCTTTGTAAAAGGCCTTTGTTTTTAGGTGTTTACAAATATAATTGCTGAGATAATTAGATAAAAACTGAGATAATTAGAGAACACATATAAATGAACAAGTCTTGTTCAGGTACATGAGAGTGACTATAAACAAAATATCAGTTCTAGAAAAATATATATAACAGAAGAATTTAAAGTTAACAGCCATGATTTCACCAGTGGTGAAGGGAAAAAAAATACAGTTAGTTTCTTATATGAAATACTTCATTCAGTAGTAAATCATGTACTTTCAGGCACTTGAGAAAATAGAAGGCAAAGGAAATAACTGAAACAGCTTATGGATACTTTCAAAACTATTTTGTTTCCAAACATTGTTTTTAGATTTCTTTCTCTTGCTTTCAGGCAAGCCAGACCTCAAAGATGCTTTAGGCTTGATAAAAGTAATAAAATAGCACTAAATACTTTGTATCCAAAAAATGTATCTCTTTCTTGTTCTGTTATGATAAAGTGAGTTTTTACATGTAAACATAACCTAAAAAAAGATGCATATTGTGGTGACTTTTATTTCATAATGAATTTTTTGGCCAATTCTAATGGCGAATGTAGTCTTAAATTGGTAGAGTTACAGATATAGATATATATTTTATATCTTCCAGGCATAATGTTTACAAGCCCATTTGGCAAGTCAAACTATT